TGAGATGGAGTCTCGCTGTCACCCAGGTTCAGTGGCGTGATCTTGGCTCACTACAACCTCTGCCTCCCAGGTTCAAGCGATTCTCCTGCCTCAGACTCCCAAGTAGCTGGGATTACAAGTGAATACCACCACGCCTGGCTGATTTTTGTATTTTTAGTAGAGATCAGGTTTTGCCACGTTGGCCAGGCTGGTCTTGAACTCCCGACCTCAGGTGATGCGCCCACCTTGGTCTCCCAAAGTGCTGGGATTACAGTCGTGAACCACCGTGCCCGGCCAGCTTCTCTATTCATTGGAGGATTTGAGTGACATGAACAACTAAGGTTTTCTTTTTTTGAGACAGAGTCTTACTCTGTCACCCAGGCTGGAGTGTAGTGGCGTGATCTCAGCTCGCCACCACCTCTGCCTCCTAGGTTCAAGCCATTCTCCTGCCTCAGCCTCCGGAGTAGCTGGGATTATAGGCACCTGTCACCACGCCTGGTTATCCACTTAGGTTTTTGAAGGGCCCCTAGGGCTTGGGGTGGAGAGTGAAGGGAAGCAGGGGGAAGTTTAGGTCTTGCAATCGTCCAGGTGAGACATGACACTGCCTGTGACCGGTGGCAGGGGTGGAGGTTGGGAGAAGTGGCCAGAGAGCAGATCTATTTTGTGGGTGAGGCTGACGGTATTTGCTGGACTGCCCTGGAACCAGAGGGAAGTAGAGTCAGGTTGACTACAAGGTGTTTGGCTTAAGTTCATAGAAGAAAGGAGTTGCCATTTGCTGGCATGAGGAAAATGGAGCAGCAGATTTTGGGAGGAAAATGAAGGGTTTGGCTTCTGACTCGCTGTTTAAGTGGATATGGATTTCACAGTTGTACTGATGAAGCTGGAATTGGTTCAAGTATAAAAGGAGGGTCATCTAAATATAGATATTGAAGGTAATCCTCAGTGAGATGAGGTTACTGAGAGGGTGTGGGGAGGCAGGAGCGGGGTGAGGCTGGGAGGGGCAGCTGGGGGGAGGGGAGAGAAGCCCAGCGATGTCCTTGGTGTCTCTGTGAAGACGGCACTTCTGGCGGAGGGACAGACACCCCCCCGCCTGAGACAGGCTGAGGAACAACCCTACAGCAACTCAGGGCACTGGTGACTTTGTCAGAGCACCCCAAATCGAACAAACACCCACTAAAGAGGGAGTGCCTCTAAGAAGCCGAAAGGGGGCGCCACCCAGGCTGCAGAGGGGAAACGTTTGCGCTCATTTTCTAACATGTCAACAACCCTGGACCACGCAGGGTCCGGGGTGTCAGAAAAATACTGGCTCTGTCATCAGCTTTGAAACAACTTTATTAGAAGGCTGCTTTAAATGACAACTTCCAACTTCCATTTCTTTCTTAATTTGCTTTTTGACGATTCCAGTTATAACTATATATGTTCATATATAACAATAATTTTTGCATTGATCTTTGCATCCTATTGAAGATTGAAGATTTCCTCATCAGGCCATTCTGGTGGAATGGAAGTGCAACCGTGACGTCGCCAGTTGGCCAGCATTGTTGAGCAAGGGCGGCAGAAGGCTGGGAGGGAGGGAGCCAGCCCCCCACCCTCTCCTCCAGCCCCCGCCCACCACAGATTCACAGTGAGAGGCACCTCACTGCCTTGACATTCAGAAAGTGTGAAATAAAGAAACCCTCGCAGTGCAGGAAATAACTGGATTCCACCTTCAAGGTTATTGAGGTTCCTCCCTCTCTCTCCAGGCCCCTAGTCAAACCCTGAAATCCTAAGGCTTAGGGAAAGCCCTTCCCCAACCTGCCAAAGGAAAGGACCCAGGGCTGCTGCCTTCTGGCCGCTTTTCTGCCTTCAGTCCCATAAGGAATTTCTCTGGACAGACGTGATTGCGGCGGCCCAAGGTCCCCCTTCTTCTTCTCTTCCCACCCCACTGGGTGGGCTTGGAAAGGTACAATCAACCATGAACATAAATATGAATAAAAAATGAACTTGAAAATGACAAGCTATTAATTAAACAAATCTATAAAAATAGTTAGGACATAACTCTGTTCAAATAAATACAAAATAAATAGGTTCCAAGCAGTGACACGAGTGGAATGTGAGGCTGGTCCCGCTGCGCCCCCGCTGGGGTTGGACAGGAACCCCCAGGGCGTCAGAACAGACTCTGAGCAGTCAGCCAAGCTCCCTGCTCCCTCGTCTTCCTCTGGAAGTACAGAAGTCGCTCATTTGGCTGGTCTTTCTGGACAAAACCCTTTTCCCAACAATGCATAATTAAGGCCTCCAACACCTTTTCCTTCCCTTGCCAGAACACGCCAACGCTCTGCCCTTCGCCCTCAAACACAGCGCTCCACTGCCCTCGTGCCACAGTGGGGACAGTGAGTTTGGTTCTGAGGTGGTGCCCATCCTGACGGGGCCAGGGCCGGCTCAGAGCACCATAAGCCCCAGCACTTGCCTTCTGTGCAGCCAGGCCAGGCAGCCCAAGCCCCATGCACTCCCATGCATGCCCAGGAGTCCCAGCCATCAGCAGGGCTCAGATGCCAGTGAGCGCCAAGGCCAGACCCTTTCCTCTTCCTTGCACAGCCAAGTTGGCGTCGATGCTTTAGGTTGGGAAGTCAGGCCTGGGAGGCCACGTGACCTCACCTTTCACCATGGACTACGGGGTTGGATGAGGGGGTGGGATGTGGGCTGTAGCCCTCCTCCCACCTTATTACATCAGCTGAGAGGCAGGAAGCAGAGGGCACAGGGAGATGCACGGCAGGCCAGAGGGCAGGGGCCGTGGCCAGCAGCTGAAATGGAAGAACTAAGCCAGCCTCCAAGCTCGCTATTGGCAGGCACTGCAGAAAATGTCCTGTTCCTACACATGTGAGCCTGGAGCCTGCTAGCTCTCCCCACCCTCCCTGGGGTGCATCTAGGGTTTTCACAGCTTGGCTCGAGTCAGCTTAGTGTTGGCACATTCACAGAATGAGATGGCTGCATACCCCGGGCTGTGGCCCAGGATCAGCGAGTCGACGGCGGGGCCGCCCTCCCCCCGTCACCGCGACTGCACGCCCAGGGTGATCTTCAGGTTCTCGTAGACCACGTAGCTGATGCTCACGGCTGGGATGACCTTCATGAAGTTGGGGGCCAGCCCCCTGTACAGCCCGAAGGCCCCCTCGGTCCGCAGGATCTGTTTGAAGAGGCTGCTCATGGTCACCTCCGGAGCGCCCTCAATGGAGGCTGCAGGAGGGAGGCCACCAGTCAGATGCTTCTCTCCGCACCCTCCGAACTCCCAGGGGACTGCCCAGGGCCAGCCTTACCTTGTGCCTGCATCCGGGTCCTAACTAGGGCCAGGGGGTAGCTGGCCAGCTGGCCACAGGTACTGGACATGGTGCCACAGGCCAGGAGCACAAACACACCGGGGTCCGCACTGTTCACTGCATAGCGCTGCAGCCAGGCATTCTTGAGCGTCTAGAAGGGGAAGGGAGCATGGGATAAGCCCCAGGAAGGGCTAGCGAGGCAGCAAGAAACAGGGGACTGTTACTGGGTCCTCAGGCCACTGGAACCCAACTGCCGGGCCCGGGGCCTGGCTGGACTCCTAGCCTGGCTGTCCTGTTTCTGCTGTCACTGGGAATTCCAGGACAAGGTAGAGGGAACACCGCCTACCCCACACAGAAGGGCTGACTTCTGGGGTCTGTCTGGAGTGTGCTGGGGCCTGCAAGCCCCTAGGGGCCACCCTGCTCTGGGGATCTGCCTGCTGAGCCCCTGGGGACGCAGAGCCTGGATGCAGGGCTCACAGGGGCTGCCAGAGGCAGGCAGGATGAAGGAAAGTTTGCAATAAACACAGGAGCCGGAAGGAGACGCAGTCTTTGATGCAGTTTCCTGCACTAGGCATGCGTCCGTCAAGGAGAGAGACAGCAGGCGGAGGTGTGCTGGGAGGGGGTTTCTAAACCTGTCCGGCTTGGGCCGGGGCCTGAGCCCTCTTGGGCCTCACCTCATAGACTGCGAGGTCGATGCCGGCATAGGGGATGATGCCCAGCATGTTGGGGACATAGCCTTTGTAGAAGGCGGCCACCCCCTCTCTGGCCAGGATCCTCCTGGCGCAGTCCAGCATTCCTGAGTACTGGCCTGTTTTCCGCAGTGCCATCCGGGTCTTCAGGACCTGCACAACAGGAGCGGCGGGAAGCGTGAGCACAGCCTGCACCTCTCCCCAGTCCCGTGCCCACTGCCCGGCCCAGGACCCAGGTGGCCCCTCACCTCCATTGGGTAGATGCTGCTCTGGGCGATCGCCCCTGCCAAGGACCCTGCCACAAGCCTCTCGTGAATCCTCAGAGTCTCCTGGTCACTACCAACAAGGCGCTTGATCTAGAACCAGGAGCAAACAAACCACCCGATATACCCAGAGGTTGAGGCACCTGCTGCCGCCCCTCCCTTCCTCCTGGAGCCAGGCAGTCTCAGCTGAGCCCTGGAGTCCCCGGCACATTTTATGCTGCCCAGAAATGTAAGGAACTGGTGGCGAGCCCGGGCCTCCCGCCTCGCCCTGCTGTCCCTGGGGTACCATGGCTGGCTCCAAGTGTCAGGGAGCTCAGTCCAGGGAAAGCCAGCAAGTCCAGACAGTGAATAGCCACTGGCTGGTGACCCTCCCTGAGGAGCTGGGTCCTCACCTGCTCATAGGCCATGAATTTGATGGCTGATTCGGGGGCAATTTTGAGGACATTGATGCCATTGCCCCGCCAGAGTGACCTGGCCCCTCCTTCTCGAATCATCTGAGTGAAGCCGCCAACGATGCCCATGTTGTTGCTGCGCGAGGCATGGACCTGGGAGGGAGGACCAAGCAGTTAGACGGACCCGGGGGGGCCATAGGCTGCCTCACCCAGCCAAGAGCCTCTGCTGGCCAACTGGCTGCGGCCAAAGAGAAGGCTCCTTCTTCTGTGAGTTTTGAAGATGAGCTTGGAATCACAAGGTCAAAGTAACCCAACACGGCTCAGTGAGGTTCAGCTCCATTGTACTGGGTATCTATTGGTTGCCAGCCTTGTCCTGAACATCTCCATAAAGATGACTTAAAAAAAAAAATCAAGGTCGGGTGCGGTGGCTCATGCCTGTAATCCCAGCTCTTTGGGAGGCCGAAGCAGGTGGATCATTTGAGGTCAGGAGTTCGAGACCAGTCTGGCCAACATGGTGAAAGCCCGTCTCTACTAAAAATACAAAAGTTAGCCAGGCGTGGTGGCAGGCACCTGTAATCGCAGCTACTTGGGAGGCTAAGGCACGGAGAACTGCTTGAACCCAGGAGGTGGAGGTTGCAGTGAGCCGAGATCGTGTCCCTGTACTCCAGCCTGGGTGACGGAGTGAGACTCTATCTTAGAGGGGGGAAAAAAAAAAAGGGCTGGGCTTGGTGGCTTACACCTGTAATCCCAGAACTTTGGGAGGCTGAGGTGGGCGGATCACATGATGTGAGGAGTTCCAGACCAGCCTGGCCATCATGGAGAAACCTCATCTCTACTAAAAATACAAAAATTAGCCAGGGGTGGTAGCGTGTGGGTGTAATCCCAGATACTAGGGAGGCTGAGGTGGTAGAATTGCTTGAACCCAGTGGGGGAGGCTGCAGTGAGCCGAGATCACACCACTGCACTCTAGCCTGGGCAACCGAGTGAGACTGTCTCAAAAAAAAAAATAACAATAATAATAATTTTTAAAAATCGAATTTTTCATTATAAAAAAAACTTAAAACATATTAAAACAATGATCAAACCACAGCCAACCTCTCTCCTGCTGCCCCACCCATGCTGGTTTAAAGGCACATCCCAGGCATTTGATTTCACCCAAGGCCTGCTTTCAATCTCTACAACATTCCTGACAATTCTGCTAAAAAAACAAAAGGATGAGGCAGTTGTTCAAGCCCCTGTTTTCACAGAGGAGGGGAAGTCCTGGGAGGGAAAGGGGTTTGCTCAAGGCCACAAGAGGAAGGGAGGCCGCTGTGGTGGTGCCCCGGGCAGAGTCCAAGCCCAAGGCGCTCAGCCCTGAACCACCTGCTTCCTTTGTCTCTGTGCGACACAGCGAGGCCCAGCAAGGCAGGCGGGGGAGGGAAAGGAGGCAGCTCGTCCAAGCTGGGCTCCTGGCACAAGAAGTACTAGGTACGAGCAAGGGGATAGGTGGTGGCCAGTCACCATTCAGACATCAAAGTCCACCAGTGTTGTCGTGTGGGTTTCACAATTCTGCCTTGACATCAGCCCAGCTTATCTCTGCTGTGTGGACATGGATTTGCGTACCTGGCCAAGGTAATGGTGTGGCTTCCCACTGGCATCTGGGTCAGGTGAGGCTCTGCTGACCCCACTGTGGGGTAACGTACACAAGACATGCTTACAGAAATTGGTTCCTGCCTCACCCCAGTCTCGGTAGCTTCACCTGTCCACATTATGCCCCTGTAATGTGATGCCTCAGATAAAATTAGATCCGCTCTGCACAAAATGTCACCTAGAGTGACATTTTGGTACCCCCTGTCTGAGCAATAATTCCAGTCTAATTTATTGGGTTAGAAAAGTCTGGGCCCAAAGCAGGCACCAGCCAGAGAAAGGGAAAACTAGCCAAGCAGCATCCCCCAAGTGGAAACTGGCCCCTCCAGGGCTCGGGGGCCTTCTCCCTACATACCTGCATGAGCACCTTGAGCCTGTCCAGGGGGGCCGTGCAGGTTCTGGATACGGCCCCTGCCCCACCTCCTGCCACCAGGTGTCTCCACCACATCCCCGTCTGCCTCTCCTCCACTGTGAACTCATCGGGGACCGTCAGATTCTCACCCACATCAAAGATCTGTGAGGAAAGATGGCATAAGCCTGACTCAGGACCCTCGGGGCAAGGCTGCTGGCACCTGTCGCCTTCTACCCTCCAGCATGGCTCCAGGCCAGGGACCACAGGACAGGGAGAAGGCCAACGATCCTGGGTGGGAAGTGGACTGGGGCCTTCACCTTCACTCTGAAGATAGCAGAGTTCTCACCCCAGCTGGGGGCCTGGAGAGAACCTCAGCTGAACACAGCTGGAAGGTGCCAGGTACAAAACCATTCACCGGCCCTTTGCAAAGCTTCCAGGGAGCTCCTTAAGAACAGCTCACAGACCTGTGTGAGATCGCCAAGCTGGCTGCACTGAAGGGATCAAGCTGGGGTAAGAGCCGTCTGAAACCTCATGTGTAACCAGATCACGCTGGCAGAACATTATGCAAGGCCTCAGCAAACACGAGGGCTCGCTGCCTGCGTAACCTCTCTCCGGGTGGCATCCGGGCTGATTAGAGCCACCTCTGCTCTGATCCCAGGGCTAAAGGCCAGAGCTCTGGGCCAGCTGCTCCCACCCCTGGAGGTGTCCACTTAATTTCACCCAACAAGCCCTGGTCTGGCACTGTGAGAGGCAGGTGAGGAGCCCCTCTGGCCTCTCCTCCTGGAGGGGACTGTCCAGGGGGACAGGACTGCACACCAGGACTCAGAGAGGGACATGCCAAGTGTGAGGGGCTCAGGGCCAGAGACCAATACAGACTCACATTTCCGAACATGAAACCACAGGGGGCAGCGGTGAAAGGGCAGCAAGTGTGTGCCCGTGGGGACACCTCACAGCTCTGCCTAGGTGCTCTCTGTAGAGTAGCTTCTGCCTCGGCCCCCTCCCACCAGGGGAAAGGGTCATACCAGCTTTGGCAGAACAGGCAGCATCATGGGAAGGGTGTCTGAAGTGGCCCATGAGCAGGAGCACGTGGGGACGGGGGGTGTTCCTGGAAGACGACCCCCGTGTGTGTGAACAATGGGGCTGTTCAGGCGGCCAGTGGCCAGAACAGGGGGAACATGCGGACAGCTCTACTCTCCCTCTCTGAGTCCTGCTGTGCAGTCCTGTCCCCCTGGACCATCCGCTCCAGGAGGGGAGGCCAGAGGTGCTCCTCACCTGGCAGAAGAGGGGACAGTCTCCTGTGGAGGAGGGGGCGGCTGGAAAGCCCTAGCTGCACTCTGGGATGGGGACAACTGGGTGACTCGGGGCCAGGCCCTGGGAGCAGGTGAGGGCCCCGGGTGTGTGGGGCTCACCGTGGAATGCTTCCAGTAGAGGATGATCTCGGGGATGTTTTCCACGGGGTGCAGGAGGTGGTAGTCTCTCCACTCGTTCCAGTCGATAGTCATCGTGCCGTTTTTATCCATGCTGCGAGACAGAGGCGAGGCTGCCCACCTGCCCATCCGCCAGCTGCGTCCCCCCACCTCCCAGCGAGCCGAGGGCAGGCACCTCGGATGCCCAGAAACCACACGAGGCGCCTCTGCCCCCAGGTGAAAGAGCAGGGGGTTACACACCCCACTCAGCACAACAATGGCAATATAATGGCCCACAGGAACCCCATTCTGATCAGGCATGGAAGTCAAGGGAGGCAGTCACGAGCGACACGGATACTTACTAGGTGACAGGGCCCCAGAAATGGCCCGTTCGTATTCTGACAGACAGACAAAGGATGCGGAGGAGAGAGGAGAAACAACACGCATAAGTGCTCGGAGCCATGTTAGTGAAGCAAGCACACACCCAGAGACGTGGGCACAGCACGGCACGAGACGAGCCCCACAGCAGCTGAGCCCGCGGCTGCTGTCCCCGAGGACCAGCCAGCGTTCGCTCCACAGGGTTTTGGGAAGGTCCAGCCAGGACAGACGGCAACTCCCAGGGCTGCTCCGTGAGATTTCCTGGCAGCCACCCCTCACCAGGGAGCTATCCTGTGGGGCAGCGCCTCTGACTAAATTGTTAAGCGCAAGTTACTAGCATGGGGAAGAAATTCACCTGGGATCGAGGCTGCAGTGTGAGCCCCCTGCCCTGCCCCCACCACACACAGGTGCTCTTTGCTGGCCTTTTACCTACTTGAACCACCCCCAAATTAGTTTTCCCTTCATGGGCCGCTGGCCGATGGGCAACATTCCAGGTGATCTGTGATTCTTCAAATGAAAGCTGGCCTGCAACGCTGGGGAGGGGCTGGCCTCCCGCAGGGGTTACTTATTCATCCTTTCTTTTCTTTTTTTTTTTGAGACAGAGTCTCGATCGGTCACCCAGGCTGGAGTGCGGTGGCGCCATCTCGGCTCACTGCAAGCTCCGCCTCCCGGGTTCACACCATTCTCCTGCCTCAGCCTCCTGAGTAGCTGGGACTGCAGGTGCCCGCCTCCATGCCCTGCTAATTTTTTTGTATTTTTAGTAGAGACGGGGTTTCACCGTGTTAGCCAGGATGATCTCGATCTCCTGACCTCATGATCTGCCCGCCTCGGCCTCCCAAAGTGCTGGGATTACAGGCGTGAGCCACTGTGCCCGGCCTACTTATTCATCCTTTCAAACCACGAGAAGGCCAAGTTCAGAGAAACAGGGTCAGCATAGGGAATGGCATCGCAGGGTTAGTGTCAGAGCCTTCCTTTCATCACACTTAAACCAAACACAGAGGCTGGCTGAGCACTCACCTCTTGAGAATTTTTTCTGCCTGCTGTTCAGATATCTTGACTCCCAAGTCCCGCAGGGACTGCATGATCTCCTGTGCGTCGATGCGTCCTACAAGAAAAGAGGCCGTGAGCAGGAGCCAGGCGCACAGGGAGGCCCGAGGCTGGACCGGCTGCAGCTCTGAAGGCAACACTTACCGTCATTCTTTTTGTCCAAACTCTTAAACACCAGCCTCAGTTTCTTCTCATGATCTTGGAGATAATGGACAAATTCTTCAAAGTCTAGCTGCCCATCAAGGTCCTTATCTCCAGCTTGTACAATTTTCTAGAAAAGAAAAGTAAGGTTTTGTCTTTTGGCTCCTGGACCAGCCTTTCCTTGTCCCTTGTGGGGCCCCATCCCCAGGCAATGACTGCACTAATCCGTGAGCAGAGCTGGCCCCAAGGACTCAAGATGCTTCTGCTCCACTCCCAGAGCCACTATGGCAATTGACTCACATGCCAGAGCCACCACCTAGAGCCCCAAGTGCTGGCCAGAACCCAGGCAAGCGCCAATCTTGTCTCCCTCCCAAGCAGAGAGGAAACGAGCAGCCCAGGAAGAGCCCTCTGGACAGAGGCCAACAGGGCCAGCTGGGCACTTTGTCAGTCTGAAGACCCGCGTGCCGCACAGCCAGGGTGAGCAGTGTGGCTCTGCTGCAGTGCCGTCCCTGGGTCCCTGGACCCAGGCTTCAACCACACACGCTCCCTGGTGAGACGTGGGGATGGCCATGGAGTTTTTTCCGACAGGAATTCTGCAGCTCGCTGTTTCCCTCCTAAAACTGGCATTGGTCCAAGAATAATTTGGTGGGCAGGGTGAAAATCGGGGGCAGAGCCAGACTCTGCCACAGCACCCGAGGCCGGGGAAGTATAAGGAGCCAAGGGCATGTGTATGATGGTACTGCCAGTCCCTGCTCTCAGGGAAGCCAGGTGATAGAGCCGCCCTGGCTCTGTCAGTCAGTCACTGAAAAGCACTTTAGTGTCCCAAGAAGGCTTTGAGAGACTGTTCCTTGGCAATGAGGTTCCAAAAGTAATCCCTCCACCCCTACCTCCCAGGAGGTGGGCTTTGTTCAGCAGTTGTTAATGGTTGTGGATGCCCAGCAACTGGGACTGTGCCATGAGAGCGCACATTTCCCCAGCACCTAGCGCGGGCCACAGGGCGTGCTAAATGCTTTACTTTTAGCAACCCACTAACCCCTCGCAAACAGCTCTAGGAGGTAGGAAATGTTATTTCCCCCATTTTACAGAGAAGGAAACAGGAGTTCCGAGAGGCTAAACATTTACACAAGGCCAGACAGCTAGGGAAGTGGTGGGCAGGATGCAAGTCGGGCCGTGGTCCTCCCAAGCCGCCTCCCTGCAGATCCTGCCACCACCCTCAAGGCTAACCTCCAGAACATGGGGAATGAAAGTGAGTCACCCCAACTCAGCAACGCCCTGAATCCAGAACCCAAAACTGGAACCGAGACTCTCCCAAGGAAGATGGTATAGTCTTCCTGTGTCCCCCGGCTTTCTCACTGGGAGAAATCAACGGACAGCCAGCTGGGGTCTGGAACTGGATGGCCCACTGGCTAGCTCACATCCTCAAAGGATCACCACCGCGCCTCTCTCTTAGACACATTACTGATGGTGCCTTGTGATTCCTCAGCTGCCAAGGGTGCCAGGGGCAGGGAGGCCTGAACAGATACCCCATGACAGATACCCCATGACCTGGCGTGCTCAAAAGGCTAATGCGAGGGGTGTGGCTGGAATGTGGGACAGATGCTGGTACATATTTTATCTTCTATCTGAGGTTACATTTAACTTCCTGTGGACATCTGTGCTCTCAGCCAAGAGTGACATAAATCACCTATACAGTGACTGCTCCAGATCTCTAACAGGAATGGAAATAGAGTGGACAAGCCATTTAGGCAGCAGGTGAACATCAGGCATGGAGCCCTCTGGGACCCAGCCACCTGCACTGCTGCCATGGTGAGCCACATGCCTCCCTGGGGTGGGTGCTGTCGCACAGACACCCAGAGCAGAGGGTGTGCTCACCGCAGCTGGCTTCAACGCATTCTCAAAGTGCTTGCTTCTGCTTCACGGGGCCTGAGTCTCCTTCTGTCTCCTTCCTTGGATCTGCAAATCCCCCTCGGTGCACAGTGGGCACTGGGGGTAGCAGGGAAACTGATTAACAGAGAGGCCGAGGAGGCAAGGGGCCTCTAGACTCTGCAGTTCGGCTTCCCCACCTTCAGGGCGGACACAGGCCCTGCTCCACAGGGATGTCTAAGGGTCGAGAAGGTGGGAGGCTCCCTCACCCCCACACCAGGGATGGGCAGCTCCCCCACCAGCACCCTCAACTCCTGGGCCTCCCTGCCTTCTCCTCCCTTGCACTATGGCCTGGCCCCCCAGACCCCTTTCTGGCTCTGTACTTCTCAGGAACACCCGCCTCATTCCAGCAAAAGGAATTTCCTTTCTGAAAGTCCATTTCTCACCACAGCCTTCGCTAGAATTCCAGCCTTCCCGGGAAGTCACGTGAAAACCAGTCACTACTGTGACGTACACGTGCCGGCCATAGCCACATGACAATGGGAAAAAACTCCTACATTTCAGACATTTTTTCCTCTCGGTGGGGGATGGTTCATGCATGCTCAGCCATTCACTCAACAGATACCACTTGAACGCGCCTCTCCCTTCTGCATGGTCACCCCACAGACCTGCTTCCACTGGCGGTAGGTGGAGAACTCCTGGGAGGGGATGAAGACGCTGAGCTTGAAGATGGACTTCAGCTCGGCAGGGAGCCCCTTGGACTCGAAGTACTGGAACTCGGTCTGGGCCTCCCCGATGACCGGCACGTACAGGCACAGACAGAGCATGTTGGCAGCCTGCTGGGTGCTCCACTGCCCTCACCACTGGGAGCAAGTTCCCTAAATGCTGCCGGTCCCAGGGAAACTTGCATAAGACAAGCCCGGCCTCAGCTGTCATTGGCTGCTTAAGCCCTGCCCTTTTACTTAATTGAAAAAAAGAAAAAAACCCTCCCACGGCAAGTCCTGCCAACAGCCAATGAACACAGAGCCCGGGGGAGAAGGTGGCATCGGGTTGCTCAAGTGAGAGGCACAAAGATGAGGGTTGACGTCACCGCTCCCTCCCTGCAGTTAACTCTTGGAGAAGAGGCCGGGTGGCGCGTTCTGCCTGCCTGGGTACCAGGTACAGAGCCCAAACAAACCTTCACCCTCTGGCTCTGGCTGCCAACCCCTCCAAATGAACAAACAGCTTATGGCCTGTCACACGTGTCACACAACACACGTGTCACACAACACAACAGTTTTCTCCTTTTAGTAAATCATTCCCAACTGAAAAATCAGTAGATGGAGACAGAGCTGATTGCCACAGAAAACGGGCCCAGTTCAGCTGTGAGGACAGGAGGCTGAGGGGTGGCTGAGAGCCAGGTGCCCAGTCACCCTGGAAAGTGGACCCCACCATGGGCCTGTGTATCCCACAGGGGAGCTGCCCTGGCCACACACGGCTCCAGGCACAGTTCTAGCTGGCTCCTGTTCCAGGGACCTGCAGCCCTCCACAGCCCACATTGCATTGAAACCTCTTCCAGGCCATTCTGCAGTGTGAGCACCAGCCTTCACCTAGGGGCCCCAGAGTGCCCAGGAGCTGACACGATGGGGTTGGGAAGAGGACACCATGCCGAAGGACCCCCCAGAAGCATCAATCTGGGGTCAGCCGAGGCCTCACACGAGATCCACAGTCTTCAATGCCCACGTCCACTCAGAACACGTAGGAGCCCAGTCTTAGTCACAGCCAGAACTTTGCTGTTCAACACAGAAGCTTTTTAAATGTAAAGTCATAGCCAGGCGTGGTGGCGCACACCTGTAATCCCAGCTACTGGGGAGGCTGAGGCACGAGAATTGCCTGAACCCAGGAGGCAGAGGTTGCACTGCGCCAGGATTGTGCCACTGCACTCCGGCCTGGGCGACAGAGTGAAACTGTGTCTCAAACAAAAAAGTAAATTCATTAAAATGAAATGAAATTACAAACTCAGTTCCCCAGGATAGCCACACGTGGTCACTGGGCATTTCTGCCACCACGGGAACGTCACTGGGCAACACAGCTCGAGAACGACTCTTTCGGCACAGGACGATTCTCCGCAGGTCGGCCTGAATTCTCCACTCATTCCTTCCCCCCAGATTCGTGCTGCGGAGGAAGAGACCACGTCACCAAGATGAGAACAGGCTCAGTCTCACCCTTGTTCCTTCTACAGCGCGCCACTTCCTAATATAGACTACATCTTCCCACTACCGGGATGGATAAAAATGGATAGTTATTACTTGGGGATCACAGAAGTAAAAGGACTTCTTAATGCACTAAAAAGCTTGTTGTTAACTTGTAAAGAGGGTATTACAAGATGTTGATACTAACACACAACATTATGAAGCAGAGATCATGACAAGTGATACGACATTTGGGCCCTTCGAATGGAAATCTGATAACGAGTCTGTGAGAACAGGTCTTGGGCTACCCTTGCGACGGATCCTATGAGGTCACACTGGATTATCCAGGCAGATTCCTGCTCAGCTGCCACTAAATCCATGACACTCAGCTGTCTCTTAAGCTGCCCAATCCAGAATGTTCTGCCTTGGGCTATTTTAACACGTATCTTATCTCTACCACCAGGGTCCTTGAAGGTAGAAGGCTCTTGCTTCAAACCCTTGAACCTCCTTGTCTGGAACTAACCTTTTGCCTTGATCAAATAAGGTGCTTCATGAATAGCTTCCAATGAGTGAATTAGCTCAGGGGGCCTCTAACACCCCAATAAACAAACTCATAACCATACTTGATGAAGGCCTATTTTTCTGAGCATCTGCAAATAGAGTTGTCAGGGCATTATACTCCAATGAACAAGATAATGTATCATTATTATTATTATTATTTTTGAGACAGACTCTCACTCTGTCACCCAGGATGGAGTGTGGTGACATGATCTTGGCTTACTGCAACCTCTGCCTCCCAGGTTCAAGCGATTCTTGTGCCTCAGCCTCCCAAGTAGTTGGGATTACAGGCACTCACCACCACACCTGGCTGATTTTTTTTTTGAGACAGAGTCTCGCTCTGTCGCCCAGGCTGGAGTGCAGTGGCCGGATCTCAGCTCACTGCAAGCTCCGCCTCCTGGGTTCCCGCCATTCTCCTGCCTCAGCCTCCCGAGTAGCTGGGACTACAGGCACCCGCCACCTCGCCCAGCTAGTTTTTTGTATTTTTTAGTAGAGACGGGGTTTCACAGTGTTAGCCAGGATGGTCTCGATCTCCCGACCTCGTGATCCGCCCATCTCGGCCTCCCAAAGTGCTGGGATTACAGGCTTGAGCCACCGCGCCCAGCCTAATTTTTGTATTTTTAGTAGAGACTGGGTTTTACCATGTTGGCCAGGCTAGTCTCCAACTCCTGGCCTCAAGTGATCTGCCTGCCTCGGCCTCCCAAAGTGCTAGGATTACAAGTATGAGCCACTGCGCCTAGCCTCTATTATTTTATTTTAAAGGAGGTTCACATTTATAAACAAAAGAGCTGAACCTTAAAATGCTGGTCTTTAGGAATGCTCATTCTATTTTATAAAATGAGATGTTGCCCTATTACAAAAAAAATGCTGGTCTTCCTTTGTTAAATTATTGTTTGCTTCTGAAACTAAATTACACAGATCTGTTGAGTATCTCATTTTAGTGATGACTGCAGTCATTCTAATACAAAAAAGCAAATATTTTGATGAATAAATTCAATTGAAGATTTCATTTTCTAATAAAGTATATTTTAAAAATAATTATGGCACATATTACTGTACCATTGAGTTTTATAATGTATCTAACAAAAGAAATCTGAGAAAAGATTTGAAAATGATACTAAATAAAAGTGAAACCTGTGTTCTTCTTTTTTCTTTCCTAAGATGGAGTCTTGCTCTGTCACCTAGGCTGGAGTGCAGTGGCGTGATCGTGGCTCACTACAACCTCCACCTCCTGGGTTCAAGCGATTCTTCTGCCTCAGCCTCCCGAGTAGCTGGGACTACAAGTGCCCACCAGCATACCCGGCTAATTTTTAAAAGGATTCTAACTTATTTGCTGCTGTGACTGAGTCCCATGGAATGTCTTCATTGGATAAACTTCAATTGGCGTTTGCTTATTTAAATCATCCATCTTACTGAGTTTCACAGGTAACTCAGGACTCCATTTTCATATAAAAATGGAGAATTCTACCCAAATAAGACAATCTCTAGGTGCTAGTGCCCAGGACAACTGCTCTATTCCTGGAATTGCAGACTGTGGGGGCCTAGAGGGGCTCTGGGATCATCCCTTAATCTCCGAGTTAAGTAAACAGGCCTGGGAGAGGTGACCTGATTTGCCCAATTCCCAAAGCCTGTCAATGGCAGGGCAGGGCCTTGCACCCAGGGTTCTTGTTACAATATCCACTTCAAACAGCACCCAAAACAGATTTTAGTATTCAGTTCCCAAAGGATGCCGGTAAGCCGGACACTGGGAATGACAGTAGGTGATACCTCATACTGGAAGGCGGCAGGTGTGTGGGAAAGGTGTAACTTGAGCAAGTTGAGCCCTAGTTAAATACAACCAAAAACGGTGTTTGTGTCACAGCTTCTGAACGCCTCTATGAGAACTAGATTATGGAGGAACTAAAGCAGGCCTCGGGTTTTAGCCCTGATGCTTCACACCGGCCTGCTTGGCACTCCAAGATCTGGGCACAACGCGCATTGTATGTGATGCCTCACTGCTTTTTATTATTCTGACTGTGTGGCACAGACCCTCATCGGTTTCAGCTCCTCCGACGTCCATTCCTATGACTAGTATTCGGCAACAGTGACAGCAACACTAGGACCCTTAGGATTCAGATTGCAATTAATCTACAAAGTAGCAGTTCCTCTCCTGAGCATCTTCTCACAGCAAATCTGCCAACGCCACCAAAAGTTTTCCTGGTTCTACCACTATGTTACATGCCCGAAGAAAGGAGGTGCTTCAGGTAAGGGCCGGAATACCATGAATAAGAACAGGGCAGGTACAGTGCCTCTGGGAGTGTAGCATTAGGTCAGAAAGTTCCTCTCCCTCCTCTGCAATGACTCAGACTTAGCCAGAAATATTAACATGTGAGGGAGCTTTGCCAGCATCCAGCCGTTCAAGCCCCACCCACCCTTAAGGCTCTCAAACCTCATTGGCGGCTGTGGCCACAGTGTCATTTGATGATCAGGTTGCCATGACAGCCTAGTGTAGCCGGTTTCCAATGAAACCTGCCTACACTTGGCAGTTACACACACAATGAGCAAAATTCTCTGTGCTTCCGAGAAGACAGCCCCTCAGGATTTGAAAGCTTGCATGCCGCTGAGGGCACCTCCCACTCCAGAGTAATGGCTTTCTTCTCCAACTGAAGATTAACTGTAAGACAAAGATAAAGGGAAAAACTGGAACAGTTCCTAGAATAAAAGCTTGCAGGAACCTCACTCACTAGCAGACATATTTAAACAGGGGAAGTGAGAGCAAAACAAAGTAGTGCTTCTGGGATGCTGAGAAGACCGAGAATCCAGGTGAACTTTTCTTTTTCTTTTTTTTGAAACAGAATCTCGCTCTGTCACCCAGGCTGGAGTGCAGTGGCGCAATCTTGGCTCACTGCAACCTCCGCCTCCTGGATTCAAGCGATTCTCCTGTCTCAGCCTCCCGAGTAGCTAGGACTACAGGCACCCGCCACCACGCCCAGCTAATTTTTGTATTTTGAGTAGAGACAGGGTTTCACTGTCTCGAGGCTGGTTTCGAACTCCTAACCTCGTGATCTGTCCACCTCAGACTCCCAAAGTGTTGGGATTACAGGCATGAGCCACTGCGCCTGGCCTAAAGTAAACTTTTCAAAAACGTTTCCAAAACATTCTGGGGGTCCTTTTTGTGATTTGGTGAGGCCAGCCCCAATTAGCCAGTGATCACAAACCCCAAACACCTTCAGAGCACTGCTCTGGAAAAGGATGCGGGCCGCATCCATGCTCCTGTTGCTCCAGTTCTTGATCTATCTGCTTTGAGAGTCTATCCTTTCCAGATGTGCTTTCTCTCTGGCTTCAAACCCAACCAGCTGCTCCATATCCCACTTGGGGCTCCCCCCATTTGCAGCCAGCTGAACTGTCTCTCTGTGGGGATCAGCCAGTAAAAGGTGTGGGTCTCTTGATTCTGCAGGCCAGGAACTAAGCTGCTCAGAACAGACAGTCCTACCCTGAGGCAGTCCCTGGAGGGAGAGCTGGCAAGGGGGTATTGTATGATGCTGAAAAATAGAGCAGCTAATTGCTAAAGACAAAAATAGGTGATTTTAAAAGGCAGCCAGCAATTCGAGGTAGTAATAAGGCAAGCAGGTCTACAGATAAAAGTTCCTCACAAAGCTAGTGCCACAGCCATTCCAATCTTGCCTAAAACAATCAAAAGGTAAAAAGTGACACCCTCTCTTTGCATATTAAGCACGCACATCTCAGGCATAACAGACTCTGAGAGACCCGCTGCTTTGCTCAGAAGGAACCCATCAAAGACTAAGACTTCTCCCCAGTGCCCACATGACTGCAAGTGTTATTACATCAAAAGTCTCTAGTAGCAAAGGCAAAATGAACTTTTATTTCTTAAATGCAGCAATTCAACTTAACATTTCTGTGGTATCTACAATGTGCCAAACAGGGCAGAATCTCCTTTTCTTCTCTGATTTTTATCCTGAGTAAAAAGATTCAAAATAACCAAAGCTCAGGAGGTGAACAAGGTCACTCCTTAGGCAGGGAGGAGAAATCTGAGCCAAATGGTGAGTTCCTTTCTAATACTGAGCACTCCATTAGTCTCGTTAAAAACCGCTTTCCTAAGGAGACAACCAGGCAGCACAGGACAAGGATTTGGGGGTGAAATCTCAGCTCCACCTCTCTTTAGTTGTTTAACCCTGGGCAAATAATGTAACCGTTCTGCCCCTCAGTTTCCTCATCTACGAAATGGGGATACTACCACTTACCTTGGCTCTTGTGAGGATGGTAACTCAGGCTCTGGGCTCAGGAGGGATGAAAGACCCCAGAGTTGGCAGACATGCAGCCGCCGCAGTCATTTCCAGAGGGGCACCAGCCTCTGCGCCTCATGACTCCAGCCTCTCCTCGGACCCAGTCTTACGCCTTCACTCTTCCTCCCAGGCCCAAAGGAGAGATGGGTCGGACCCAGGCAAGGGGACTGTGACCTTCAGGATGCCAAGACCACCCCCACAGCTCCAAGCAACTGGGTTCCAAGGTCGAGGCGCACTCTCGCCCCTTTAGCTTCGCCCTTCCTGAGCTGTTCAGATAAGCTAAGGCACACTTTCACAGTCTGCCCCTCACTTTCAAATGGCCTTCTTCAGCCAAACTAACAAATCCTAAAGCAAATCTATCACAACCTTCCTTCCCTCAACAGCCACACTGGGGTGATTGCAGTGGGTAATGCAGCTTTCACAGGGGCCACAGAAAGATTTTAGATTGAATTTGTGGGCTTCCTCATTGCCTACCACTTCTCACTGAACCCCAAACTAACGTTATGAGTTCTCCCTTCCTCCCCACACTCGTTTTTTCCCCCAGGAAAATGATCCCAGACCAGGCCCTAAACTAGGAGGTCCTCTTGAGGCCAACATTACCTTAGGAAACTGCTCTGCAGGTCCAACCACCAGCAAAATGGTGGGTCTCTTTTCCGTGGCCTCAGCCCTTCCGTCCTGTTTCCCCAAAAAGCTTGCCATCTGGTCTGTCCGGGCAGGGGCTGGGGTGCCTCTGACTTCATGATCGTCCCCCTCTCTGGAGCCTTGGCACCCAGCCCTGGGGAAAAAGCTAGCTAGGAAATGCCACAGCATCTGCAACATCACAGTCTCCTCCAAACGCCTCCGATGGTGACTGTTCACTTTTGAGGGATGTGACCACAATACCAAGGCTCTCTGGCTACACAGCTGCTGGGAAGACTGGCCTGGGAGTTCTCAGGCTGGAAGCTCTGCATGCAGGGGCGGTTTCCTGCTTTTTCAAATGTGCTAGCACTGCTGTCGTGCCCGGCCTGAGAAGTAGCTCACTGTAAGGGAGCCTTGCCGGGCTGCCGGCAATAAGGAGAAAGCAGCTGGAGCTTCTTCAATAAAAACTCACTTCTGCAGGTGATGGTGAGCAAACGTTTGGCTTTTTTAAAAAACAACAACAAAAAAAAAGGAAAACGCCACAGCCAAGCAGACCACTCCCAGAGGCAGCAAGCAACTTCGAGCTCCCAGTTATTCAGCTGTCCTCGCTCATCACCCAAGCCGAGGACCCGAGCATCCAGTCTGCATTCTCACTGCAGCAGAGCCCGGCCAATCACCTCTGCCGACACTACCAAGTTCATTATCCCCACCAGCACCAGCCCTCCAATCACAGGCAGCTGATTGCCTGCATGAAGCCCGGCAATTCTGCAGGGAGGTGCAGACTCAAGCTCCAGATGAGGCTCAGCTTACAGAATCCACTCTGAGCTGGCTCCTTAGCAAAAGTAACTCCGTGTCCTCCACCCGGGTTGCTTCCAGAAGGCATTCACCATCAAGTGCAACATCATCAACAGTCCTTGGCAGCACGTCCTAAGAGCATTCTAGAAACATTTTTCCTTGTTTCAAGATCCAGTTTTCTCCAACAGAGCCCACGCCATATCACAGCAGCTACTTCTGCTGCGTCTACCTCCAGAAGATGAGCTGCCTCGGGGCAGGGACCAAGTCACAGATCTTTCTGCCCCTAGGACTAGGCACAGATTAAGTCTGTAGACTGAACTGTGTAAAAGGTCATAAATAAAAAGGAATTAATCTTTGGTCATTTGTTTCTTAGTTTACTAACAGATAAAGGCACTGGCTACTGTCATCCCTCACTGCGGTGACCCTCTCATAGTGTTCACAACCTTTACTGATTGATTGATTAGTTGATTGATTGAGACGGAGTCTTGCTCTGTCATCCAGGCTGGAGTACAGTGGGTGGCTCTCGGCTCAACGCAACCTCCACCTCCCGGGTTCAAGCGAATTCTCCTGCTTCAGTCTCCCGAGTAGCTGGGATTACAGGCGCCCGCCACCATGCCTGCCTAATGTTTGTATTTTTAGTAGAGACAGGGTTTCACCGTGTTGGCCAGGTTGGTCTCAAACTCCTGACCTCAAGTGATCCACCCACACCTTCGCCTCCCAAAGTGCTGGGATTACAGGCGTAAGCCACCGTGCATGGCCCCACAACCATTATTTTAAAAATACAAACACAAAGCTGGATGTGGTGGCTCACGGTTATAATCCCAACACTTTGGGAGGCCAAGGCAGGCAGATCATCTGAGGTCAGGAGTTCAAGACCAGCCTGGCCAACATGGTGAAACCCCGTCTCTACTAAAAATAGAAAAATTAGCCGGGCATGGTAGCAGGCGCCTGTAATCCCAACTACTTGGGAGGCTGAGGCAGGAGAATCACTTGAACCCAGGAGGCGGAGGCTGCAGTGAGCCAAGATCGCACCATTGCATTCCAGCCTGGGCAACAACAGTGAAATTCCATTAAAAAAAAAAAAAACAAAATAAAACATAAAATCAACTTGTTAAAAGACAAAGTATAGAAGAGAGGGGATTGTGTGCTGCTATTTATTCCTAGCTTGTATTTGTGAAGACGGCCTCTGGAAAGACAATCAAATTGAAGAGAGGGTGTGCGGCAGGGAGGGCACTTGGGGCTTTGAGAGACGAAAGGCAGATGAGAGACGTGTTTTCACTATCCTCTTAAATCTTGCGAAACTGAACCATAAGCATGTATGACCCAGACATACACACATACACACGTAAATAAAACAATTATTGAAAAAGAAGGCCGAGCACAGTGTCTCACACCTGTAATCCCAGTACTTTGGGAGATGGAGGTGGGCCGGCTGCCTGAGCCCAGGAGTCTGAGACCAGCCTGGGCAATGTGGAGAAACCAGCCTCTACAAAAAGTAAAAAAAAACCAGCCAGGCACTGTGGTGCATGCTGTAGTCCCAGCTACTCAGGAGGCTGAGAGGTGGGAGGATCACTTGAGCGTGGGTGGTCCAGGCTGCAGTGAGCCATCACTGTGCCACTGCAGTCCAGCCTGGGTGACAGAGTGAGACCCTGTCTCAAAAAAAAAAAAAAAAAAAGACGATATGGAGAGAAAGCAAGATGGTTGAGATGGGGTTCTAAGGCTTGTTCTGAAAGCTGAAGGAGCCTGTATCTGTTGCCCTCTCACTAGATAAACAGAACTTGTCCAGAAGCAGTTTTGCATGTTGATTAAATGTACAGTCTCTGGAGCCAGACCCCAAATTCCAATCCTGGCCTTCACTTATTAGCTGTGTAGTCTTGGCTAAGTTACTTCAGCTCTCTGTGTTTCACTATCCTTATGTGCAAAACGGGGTTAGTACTTCATAGAATGGGTTAAAGACTAAATTAGAGAATATATAAAGCTCTTAGGACAGTACATGGAGCTATTAGCTATTTTATTATTATTATTATCTACAAAATGATTGTGAGTCATCCAACTAGGTCATTTTAATACTAAAGAAGAGCCAGTCCACAGCCAAAAACCCTAAGGAAATAAAAATCCTTTGGCCAGGAGTGGTGGTTCACGTCTGTAATCCCAGCACTTTTGAGAGGCCGAGGCGGGTCTTTTGAGCCCACAGTTTGAGACCAGCATAGCCAAATACAATGTGACTCTGTCTCTACAAAAAAATCAAAAATTAGCCGGGCATGGTGGTGCGTACCTGTAGTCCCAGCTATGCGGGAGGCTGAGGTGGGAGAATCACCTGAGCCTGGGAAGTGGAGGCTGCAGCCTGGGTGACAGAGTGAGACCCTGTGTCAAAAATAAGTCAATCAATCCTTTAATGAATGTGAACCCTGTTTTTAGGCACAGAAAGTCTGGCCAGATGGAAGGGATAGTGATGTTTTGGCCTCCCATCTACAGACGTAAGAGAAATCCCTTATTTAGATTACCGCTTTTTAATTTAATGCACTTCCTCCTACCACAGAACTGGGTTATGAGTTCAGGGGCTTCCAGCCAAGATGGGACCAAGTCACCTTCCTGCCTACAACTACAAGTGCAGACAAAACATAGAAAACCATCTTTCCCAGCCACTGGACAACAGGCTAAGGACACTGATTCCTGAGAAATGTATACAAATGAAGCCAGGAGCGCTTCCCATTGCCCCAGCTTTCTGCCTGGAGCTTCCAGTCTAGGTGCAGAGCGGAGAAGCCAGGTGGAACCCAGCAGCCTCCTGATGTTCAAGAGATGGGGCTGGGAGGCTGGGGAGGCCAGGCCAGGGCAGCTGGAGTGTGCAAGACAGAGCACTGGAGAGGAGGGAGCTGCACAGAGGGTGAGCTCCCCCAAGGGTCCCCAGGGAGTCACAGCGCATGGGTGGGAGGAACCTACCTGAGCATGGAAAAGAACCATCCCAAAGGATCACAGGACTGGGAATAGTCCCGTTCCCGTCAGCCAGAGTGGAAAACCTCAGAATACAGGCAGGTTTAGAAAGAGCGCTCAGAGGATTTTGCCTCTACAATGAGGCAAAGCCAGCCCTTGGCTAAATGCTGTCCTTGTTCCGCCCAACAAAGCAAGCCCTGCAAGGGTCAAACTACTCCAAGATAAAGCTCAAGAATACTCATAGGAATACACTAATAACCAGCACCCAAGAGGGTGAACTCCAGTAAAAAAATGAATAGGAACTACAAAGAAGCAGGAAAAGACCCATAATGAGGACAGAAATCAGTAGAGACTGAGCAGAAATGATAGACTTAGGACTCAGGGACATTCAAAATGATCATAATTGTACTTCCTATGCACAAGAAAGTAAAGGAAAGATCAAGTATGTCACGTAGAGACTCCGCAGATTAAAAAGCCCCACCTCAAACTACAATGTCTCAGATGAAAAATGATTTTAACAGATCAGACACTGCAGAAGAAAAGATTAATAAACTTGAAGACACAGCGATAGAAACTTCCTAAAATAAAACACAGAGGAAACAAAACAGAGCATAGGTGAGCGGTGGGATGACCCAAACAGGTTAACACCCATAGCTGGAGTCCATGGGGAGGGGGCTGAAAACATAATTTAAAGAAATAATGGCCAAATTTTTCTCCACATTTATTGAAAGCTACAGATCTACATATCTAAGGCGCTCAACAAACCCTTAGCACAAGAAACATCAAAAAACCTAACTCTGACACATCACAACTAAATTTCAGAACACCAGTGATAAAGAGGAAATCTTAAAAGCAGACAGAGAAAACAAGACCCATTACGTACAGATAAGAATGACTGGGTTCTGGCTGGGCGCGGTGGCTCAAGCCTGTAATCCTAGCACTTTGGGAGGCCGA